GCACATATACAGAACAGCCACAAATAAGACCGTGGTAAAAATTAAACATCCATATTCTCTTATTTAATTATTGGGCTCCAAAGAAGATTCACATTTGTTTTAATATGTCCTCATTTGCTTCTTTTTATGGCAAAGAGTGTTAGAATTTTGTTGGGTGTAAGGCCTTAGAGCAGTGATGGTGAACCTTTTAGAGACCGAGTGCCCAAACTGCGACCCAAAACCCACTTATTTAATGCAAAGTGCCAACACTCCAATTTAACCTGAATACTGAGGTTTTACTTTAGAAAAAACAACTCATACATTAACTTAAGATGATCCAAACAAAGTAAGGAAAGCAATCCCAAATGCTTTCATTTACTTAAAATTATTTGGCAGAGAATTCAACATTTTAATGATGGCCTGGGCCTGGCTGGGGCGATGGCACACGTGCCCACAGACAAGGCTCTGAGTGCCACCTCTAGCACCCGTGCCATAGGTTCGCCACCACTGCCTTAGAGGATCCCCCAAACCTCTGCTCAGATCCTGAGCTGCTGATGATGGACAGTGAAATTTGGAGCTCTCTTAAAACACTGAAAGGTAATCAGGCAGTGGTTACCTGCTGCTGCGTTCTCATCTCTTCATGCTTTCTCCCAAATAAATCTGCAGATGCATAACTTTGTTTTTCTAAACCTCCCTTCTCCTTTTCCTTCATACCTTTCCTCCTCCCAGGTCCCTGGGAGCACAAACAGGCTTACAGCATTGGTGGCAAAGAGTTTTGCTTCTTGAGAAAGATGAGGCTGAAATTGGTTTCCAGTTTGTTGTACTTACTGGTTTCTTATTTGCCAGTCTGATACTGAAACAGCTCTACACCCAAAAAGGAACTTTTGACCACCCCAGATCATATACCCACAAAATCTGAGCATGTCAGGGGTTGTCAGAGGGGGTAGCAAATGAATTAATGAATGGAAGGATGGAGGAGTAAGTGTGGTGGAAGGAAATGATGGGGAGAGGAATGGGCGGACAAAGAAAAGGGTGGTGAGAGAGAAAGGGGAGGGAGAAGAAAGGTTATGAGGGAGGAAAGAATGGGAAACCGTACACTGGAGAGGAGAGGGAGAGGACTGGGGAGGGAAGTGGAGGATTAGGTAGAGTGGTGTGTTTGTGCTGTTCCACTTGGAGTATTGGTTTACTCCACTTGGAAATGTGGCAGCCTGTGTTGCAATAATGACATGTGGTAAATGGGAGGAGGCTACACTCAGATTAAGCAGGATCCAAACATAATGCCCAGCTGTGTCCTCTTTGCTTTCTGGCCTCAGCAGGATCGAAGGTAATGTGGGACTCCCAACCTCCCAACACTACTTTGCCTCACATGGAAATGCAGCATCCCCACCTAGTGAAGAATGTTGGCTATAACCTTCAGAGAAAGGGGAGGACAAAACTTCTGATCTTTTATCCTCATTTTTGTGTTCTCCTCCATTGTTTATCACATAAAATCATCTATTCAGTTTCCATAGGCTTCTGCCTGAGTAAAAACATTTAGCATTTATATAGCACTTTTAAATGTTCAAAGCATAACATATATATTATCTTGTTTTAAAGCAGCCTTGTAAGGTACATATATAAGTGCCATCAAGTTGCAGCTGACTCATGGTGACCCCAGCCAAGGGGCTTTCAAAGCAAGTGAGACGCAGAAGTGGTTTGCCCATTGCCTTCCTCTGCAGTCTTTCTCGTCAGTTTCCCATCCAAGTCCCACTGGCCCCTGGTTAGCTTCTGATATCTGACCAGATCATGCTATACCATGCTGCCTTCCATCTATGCCGGGGTAGGCAAATATCACTATCCCCCTATGCAGATGGGGTCTGGAAAAGTGTGGCTTGCCTAACAATGGTATATGAAAGTACTGAAAAGCAAACAGAAATGTCCCTGCTAGCAACCAACATGCCTTTTTTTGTTTTAAGATAATCTGATAATAATGCAGTGTAAAATGTCTAGGATGCAAATATTCTTTCCTTCCTCCTAGGGGCTGGTATAGACAATGTAAAATATATAGGTAAAAAGATTTGTTTGTCTGCTTACAGATCAAAATTGGTTAGTGTAATGGTTTAAGTGTCAGACTAGCATCTGGGATACGGAGACCCAGGTTCAAATCCCTGCTCTGCCATGGAAGCTTACTGGGTGAGTTTGGGCTAGTGACATAGTTGCAGCCTAATGTAACTCACAGGGTTGTTGTGAGGATAAAATGGCGGAGAGGAGAACACTGTAAGCAGCTTTGGACCCCACTGGGGAAAAAGGGAGACCTGGGTTCAAATTCCCACCCTGCCACGGAAGCTTACTAGGTGACTTTGGGGTATTGACATACTTGCAGCCTAACGTACCTCTCAGGTTTTTTGTGGGGGAAAACAGAGGAGAGGAAAACAATGTAAGCTGCTTTGGATCCTCACTGGGGAGAAACACGAACTATAAATGAAGTAAACAAATAACATGCACTCCACACAATTAGATCTGTACTACATATGCAGGTACATACATATAGTGCATATGTATCATATTTTAAACTTTCAGGTTACATGCAGCATACATGAAGAAAGGTTTTTGTAAAATAAGAAAAATCAGCTGTGGGAGCACCTGAGGAGTTGAGTGTCCCTGTGAAAGACCAAAACATAATTTTCTTCACTGGCTGATTTTATAATAATACATCATGGCTAACAATTTTGCTTTGTGTTTGCTGAAGATATGAAAAAAATTTTTTTTGAGAGGATACATTACAGTAGTGTTGTTATCACTCCCTGAGAAGGATTCTGTTTTGATTTGGAAAATGCCCCTATCTCTGCTGAGCAGGGCTGGTCCTTCTTCCAGAAGTTTGAAAAAACACTACCCAACGTGGTACAGTATGGTAGATGGAGCTGGCCATGACTCTGGAGCATACTGTAAACTTGGTAGCGCAAGGGCCCTGGCATACACTAGACCTACTATGGTGCTAGTACCAGTGGGGTTGTAGTGGTTACAGTGTTGGGATGGGATCTGAGAGACCCAGGTTCAAATCCTTACTCTGTCATAGAAGCTTGACTGGGTGACCTTGGGCCAGTCACTCTTTGTCAGCTTAACCCAGCCAACAGGAATTTTATGAGGATAAAATGAAGAAAGATGCTGTAAGCTGCTTTGGGTCTTCATTGGGGAGCAAAGGAGAATGTAAATATCAGATAAATAAATAAAAATATTGCCATTGCAGTGTGAGCTAGTGATTAGCCAATGTTCTCTCAGTTCAACTCAGAACTGGCTCAGAAATTATAAACTTCCTTGGATAACAGTAAGACTGATCATTTTTTAAAATGCTCTCTCCTGGCGTATAATGTTGGGTTATGAATGCCAAAGTAGTTTATAACACCAGAAGGTCGGACCAGAACCAATGGGTTGAAATTAAATCAGAAGAGTTTTCAGCTAAACATTAGGAAAAATTTCCTGACAGTTAGAGCGGTTTCTCAGTAGAACAGGCTTCCTTGGGAGGTGGTGGGCTCTCCTTCTTTGGAGGTTTTCAAAGAGAGGCTAGATGGCCATCTGACAGCAGTGCGGATTCTGTGTACTTAGGCAGATCATGAGGGAGGGCAGGAAGGGTTGCCTCAGTGCTTAGGTCTTGTGACCCTTTCTTACATGCCCAGGGAAATGCCGGTTGCCACTTTGGGGTCAGGAAGCGATTTTTCTCCTGGCTGGTTTGGCCAGGGATCCTGCAGGTTTTTTTGTCATCTTCTGGGCATGGAACAGTGGTCACTGCGGATGTGAGGGTGTCGTATTTGTGAATTTCCTGCCTTGTGCAGGGGGTTTGACTAGATGACCCTGGAGGTCCCTTCCAACTCTATGATTCTATGATTCTAGCCCTGGCTGAGAGTCATTTAGAAAAACAGCTGAGAGAGGTAATCCGAATAGACATGGACACTCATCAAATAACAGGCTGCTTGGGCAGGTGGACTTTTAACATAGTTCACAGGCATTAATATGAGTTTCAGCAAGGGTAAAGGCTTAACATTAAAGAAGTTCTATGGATGCATCTACAATGCATTCTGTGCTCTGGTCTACTTTGTGCTCCTGGTCTGCTGCCAACTGTACAACATCTAATTTTACAGTTTGAGCCAAAGAACAACAAATAAAAATCATACACCTGAATCAGAGATGAATCATACTTGTTATAAGCACATACATGTTAAAATTCTTATATATAAAATATTACATACTACATACAAGTAGTATATATGATTATCATAATCAATAATACTCTTCCTTTAGTGGCCATACTTCTGCTGAATTACTTTCTGCAATATATTATCTTATACTAGCTAGTTTTATCCCCACAGCAAGTCCTAAAACTGGGCCTTTGGTTCGAGGTTGTTAGGGCACTATCAGACTTCAGAATTCAGAAGAGCAGGGAAGCAAACCAGCTGACATCTCCCGGAGCCATAAATACATTTTTTTAAAAACCCTGATGCATTTAAAATGGCAGACATGGCTCTTTACAAAAACGTCCATATTAAACCTAGTTCTTTGTTGCAAAAAATGAACAGCGCAATCCTAAGCAGAGTTACACTTAGAAGGGTATTACTGTTTAGGATTGCACTATAAAGGCCTCATTTTGGTGGGTATTTCCTTCCGTTGCCCTTGTCCTGAACCCCGCAAAAGGCCACTTTACACAGAGGCAGTTGTCCAACCAGATATATATTAAACCTCAAACTATTCCAATTAGAATCTACTTAAGATGTCTCCTGGAACACAGCCATCTATATTAAACACTGGCATTTCTATATACTATCTAAGAATAAAATATAATTTTAAAAGCTTGCACATTTAAAAAAAAAGATTTTTCATGTATAGAACAGACATTTCTGGAGAATCTCCATTCAGCTATAGTTTGGCAGATGTGCCTCTTATTTTTGAACATGTAAAGGTAGTATGCTGTCAACAACACTATACAAAAAGACATACATAAATGAATAATAATTGTACACTGCAGTGAACAGAATACAACACCGTGTTATTCACTTAATGGAAGAATCCAGTATCTCTTGATAATCTTGTGTTTTTAATTTCTTCCAAGACAGTTTATAACATGCAAGAAAAAAGACACTGATGATTATAATAGCTCCTCCAATCATATCATAGATGCTGGGGAAGATGCGTAATACAAGAAGCTGAAGGACCATGGCTATCACAATCTCAAGATGCTGTACTGTGCTGACCAAGGCTGGATGGAATTTACTCAAGGCATAATAGACCCCCAGAAAAGCCACTGTGGAACACAGACAGATGCCCATGAGATAGCTCCAGCTTTCTCCATTCAGTGGAATAATTGGCTCCTGTAGAAAAAACATGGTGGAAGCTCCCCACAGTGTGCCAGTCCAACCGAAGGTAAACAGTGCTGTCCACATGCTGACATTATCCTTGATTGACCTGTATACTATCATGGAGAGAGCTGTTGTTAAGCCTGCCATGACTGTCATTGTGTAACCAAATGCCTCCTTCCAGATATTCAGCAGAGAACTTTCTTCATCAACAATGTTGGGGATTATGACCAGACAAACACCCAAAACACTACACAGCACAGTAATTACATCAACACAAGCCATTCGCTCATCTACTAGTAAAAAGGCCAGAATGGCACTGAAGACTGTGGTGGTAGCTCTCCACAGAGTAGTCCCATTGCTTGGGGGCACTATTGAGAAAGACGTGTAAGCACAGGTAATGGAAATAACATTGCACACTCCATAGAAGAACAGCCGCAATCTGTGGCCTTTTGGTCCAAAAGGGTCCTCTTGGTAATAGCACACAACTAAGACAGAAAACGCTTGCAAGACAGACCGAATGAAGATCAGTTCTAGAGATGGCACTTTGGAACGGTCAGAAGCCAGTCTAGTTATCAAGGCTACACAACCATGGGCCAAAGCAGATCCAAAAAGCACAGCCCAAGTCTTTCTGGATTGAAAAATGCTTCCTTCTATGAAATCTTGGCCTGGCTCACTCTTGGTGGCTTCTGGCTTTTGTGTGGCCTGAGAAGGGATGTCTATCGTTCCAAAGAAGGACCTTCCTTTCGATCGCCCATCACTCAGCAGCCTCCTCTTTGGATTATCTTCTACAAAACTATCATTGTCTTCACTAGCTCCTTCATATTCTTCTTCTCCAGGTTGCGGGTAATGGGAGGTATATTTTACTGTCACTGTATTAGGGTGAATTTTCACTCGTTTTTTCACTGGATATTGTTTGGAAGGTGAAGTATCCATTTCCTCAGATCACTAGGACTAATAGTAAAGAAATATATATATATAAGTAATTTAGCAATAATAAAGTAGTTTGGTTGCAATATTTAGGTACTTACACTGTAATCCTAAATTCAATTCTGTATGTTCTCCCATTGCCCTGGGTAAGCTGAACTGGTTTGAGAAGAAACCAAAGCTCAAATATTAATGCCAAATATAGCAAATCTGTTGTGACAGCAGAACACTACACTGCATCATAGTCATCAATGCATTTTTCTTGTTAGACATGTTTAAAATAGGCTTGACATTTACCTCTCCTGCAACACCCCCACAATTTCCCCCTGTATTTTAATGCAGTTCAAGCAAATGGCTTATTCTGAAGAATTCATTTGTCTTCAATAAAATATTAACAGATTACAGTTTCAACTAGAATTGAAATAAATTGCAATGTTTGCATTCTACAAAATAGATGTGTAATTGACAGACTCTCAACAAAGTTGCAATGGCCATCAATATAATTGTGTAATTGCAACGATATCCTGTAAATATGTAGCTATCCTGCAAACTTCTCTTCCATTGACACTGATTTCATTCAGTCAATGTTCCTTCATATACAGCTGAGTTACTCCAAGTCCCCTCTCCTACTTCTGTGCCACACAACAGCTTTATGTGTGGTTGTTTCTACAGGTGTTGCAGTGCTGACCTGTGCTGCTGGGCTATTATGATGTTATGAACCAGTCTGGGCTGTCCAGTTCAGTGCCATAGGTGTGATATTGCACTGGTTCAAAAGTCAGTCTGCTCAATCCTATTTGCTGGCATAGCGGTCCATACATAAGACTGGGCCAGAACTTACAGGAGTAACAAGAACAATTTTTATTATTATTTGGGAATACTGTACCCATGCTGGCAATTAAAACAGGTAAATGTCAGTTTGAATACAGTTTTCTTATGATGCAAATAAGGACTAACAGTTTTCCAACTTGTTCCCTGCCCCTTTCACTGCCTTTTAATTGTATAGTCTTTAAATGCACAGCATAAGATACATTGCCTTAAAAATGAAAATACAGAGAGCAGTAAGTTGTTAAGGCAGTGGGATTGATGAATGCTGACCACTCTGTCAGTATCAGAACTAGTATATGCCAAATGGGGAGATTAAAGACCATGGACACTTGGCAAAATGGAGATAGGAGTGCTCCTTCAAAAATATATGACCGTGTTAACAATGCCTGATGTGGGGTTACTAGTTACTACAATTTTGTCTAATCGGGGGAGGGGGGAGCTTTCAAAGTTGCTCTGTGATCCCCCCCATATAACCCATTATTTTAAAACTGCACATCTGCAGAATGCACATTAATGGACATGAATGGTGCAGCTTAAATAGACATTCAATGACAACTGAGATGTTCTTTTATCATGCAAGAGAGAGCAACAAACAGCCAAAGCAAAAGGGACGAAATATATTTCTTTACCTTTGTTTAGAAGGTTCTGGATAAACGATGCCACACAAATATCCCAAGGCTGAGAGATGTTAAAGGAAGTAAGTCTGTGCTCCAATATCCAGCAGCGTGTCCATTTCTGTTTTTTTTTAGCTTTGAAGAAAATAGGAAGAATTGGAGATAGCTACCTGTGAATCCAAATGTACTGGGCAGCCAGGAACAGAGAACCAAATGTCATCAATTCAGAGTGTGTACAGGAGAAATAATGTAGATTCTGTTTCTGCTACCCTCTCTTCTGTCTGCACACTGAGGCACTGAAGAGGAGAGGAGGAGAGAGAGAGGCGACAGCTAAAGAATCAAATGCTTTGAATAGACCAGAATAAGTGAGCATGCTCAGTAGAACTCAAGGGCATTTGATAGTACCTTCACTACTAATTATGGAGTGGAATAAATCTGTTTCTTACTAGTGACTCTGACAATGAAGCATGTTTTAAAGGATGTATTACTTATTAAAAAACAGAATAAACGAAAAGGTAATTATTTTTATGGCATACATGGTGTGAACATTGCTCATTCTCAGTCACAAAGACAGATTTTTAATCAGCATCCTGTATAGAGGATATACAGAGCAGAAGAAACCGAAATCCCATAATCACAAACCATGGAACTAGATTCAACAATGTTTTGAGCTAGGCATTTTAAATGTTAATATGCACAGTATATTACAGAGAAGTAGACAGAAATAAACACATTATCTAGAAGAAAGCACCTTTACAATAAAGGGACTGACTCTCATTGTTCATCAAGTAATCAGTAAATATCCTTGGGATGACTCATTGCCCATTTTCATTGATGCAGTCGTACAAAATAAATGGTACTGCATCACATGTACAGTGAGCAGTAGCTCAACCATAGTCTAATATCTGAACAAATGTACTGACAAATTTCTCAGGCTGGTACTCTCCCTTAGGACATGTAACACAGAGGCTTTAAAGGCTTACCCAGTAACAGACAAGTAAAAATCTAACACTATTTTACTTCTCAATAAATAAACAAATCAACCTCTAATTTTTATCCACTATTATCTTCTGTTCTTCTGCCTTTTCCATATAGATTACAATTATTTCATGTCAAAGTTCCTTCTCATGTGTGTTCATGCTTGTGCTATTTTGAAGAGAGTCCAAATTGGATAAACATCTAGTTTTCCAAACAAGATACAGGCATTCCTAATTCTTATTTATGTAGCTCATAATATGATATGGAACTAGGCACACCTCACAATTTTCTTATTGTACAGATTTTGTTTACCAATTTTATTCATTTGCCATATATATGATATCTTTTTGCCATAAAGACACTCACAGCAGCTAACAGGAATCTCTCCTTATATATAAAAGCAATTTCATGTCCCACTTTCCTCAACGTTCCACATGCTCCCACAGCCCTTGGCTCCCTCAGCTGCCATTCTGAAGGACTGCCAATCCCCTGGCTGCATTGCCTTGGCCCCACCCACAGAGCCAGTAGCCAGCGTCTCGCCCTCAGTCTGGAGGGAGCCAGCGTAGGGGATGGACGCTCCGTCGAGAGAGTGGCAACCCCCTCCACGGGGGAGAAGGAGGCAGACCTAGTGAGTGGTGGCAAGCAGGGGGAAGCACTCACCTTCACTGCCCCTTGCAGCGCCTCTCCCTCAGCCGCAAGGGCGGTGCTTCGTGAGGGTGATAGCTCAGCGGGCTGCACCACAGAGAAGGCTGCCCAGTGCCTTTCAAAGGTTCCCCCGCCTTCCTTCAGCAGCAGTGGCAGTGCCAGGGAGGGTCTGGCCTAGAGGAAACGAGCTGCGGCTCCTAGAAAGCCGGACTCTCTCCTGAGGAAGACACTTCTCTTGGCTCCTGTGTGGGACTAACTGGGACTAACTGTCCACTCAGTGCCTGTTGGTAGGCAACCAAGCCTGCTTCTGTCAGTAAAAAAACAAAGGACTTTCATCATAACCCCCTCCCCCGCCCACTGCCAGCTTTGCCACTTCCTGTCAGAATAAACTTAAAACATCTCTCTCTCCTTTTTGGCTCCACCATGGCTGGCTGGCTAATGAGGTGGGCCAGCGACCATCAAACCATTCTCTTCAACCCCCTGCTGTGTGGCTGACTTTCCCCATGGGTTGCCAGTCTCCAGGTGGGACCTGGAGATCTCCCGCTGTTACAATTGATCTCCAGATGACAGAGATCACTTCCCCTGGAGAAAATGGCTGCTTTGGAGGGTAGACCCTATGGCATTATCCCCTGCTGAGTCCTTCCAACCCCCCAATGCTGCCCTCCACAGGATACACCCCCCAAATCTCCAGGTATTTCCCTAATCAGAGCTGGCAACTATACTTTCTCCTCAGTGCCTGTTGCTAGGCAACCAGGTTCTGTCAGTAAAAGGCCCTTTCCACACCTATTAAGGCCTTTGGGAAAAAACTCATTGGGGCCAGTCCTGATAGGGTTGCCAACTCCAGGTGGGAAATTCCTGGAGATTTGAGGGATGGAGCCTGGAGAGGGTGAGGTTTGAGGAGGGGTAGGACCTCAGACAGGTACGATGCCATAGACTCCATCCTCCAAGCCAGCCAGTCCCTCATGGGAAACCATTGTTGCCAATCTCCAGGTGGGGGTTGGAGATCACTCAGAATTACAACTGCTCTCTAGGGTGGGGGAGGTGGAAAGCTGAAGCCAGGGGGCAGATGATAGGCTGACGGTTGGCTGGGAGGAAGATAGGGTTGCCAACTCCAGGTTGGGAAATTCCTGGAGATTTGAGGTGTGGAGCCTGGAGACTGTGAGGTTTGAGGAGGGGTGGGACCTCAGACAGGCACAATGCCATAGACTCCACCCTCCAAACCAGCCATTCCCTCATGGGAAACCATTGTTGCCAGTCTCCAGGGAAGGGATGGAGATCACACAGAATTACAACTGCTCTTCAGATGGCAGAGATCAGTTCCCCTGGAGAAAATGGTGGACTCTATGTCATTATACCCTGTTGAGGTCGCCACAGCAAATTGATGCTGAGTGCCCAAGGCTGGGGCACTCTCCCAGAGCCTCTTTCTAGAGCTTGTTGTATTTATTTCCACAACGTCCCTTATTCCTAGTAAAGTATAAATGCAAAAGAATAATGGAGAAACTGCTTGGGGTTTACAGAGGCAGCCTGTCCAGAAGGGGGGGGGTTGCACTCTTCCCGAAGGAGCAGTTTCATAGCTTGGGGGTACTACTAGATCCTGGCCTACAACTGGAGGCTCAGGTCTCCTCCATGGCACGTAGCACCTTTTATCAGCTCCAGCTGGTTTGCCAGTTATGGCTGTTTCTCAAAAAGCATTATTTGGCCACAGTGATTAGGGTTGCCAACTCTGAATTGGAAAATACCTGGCAATTTGGGGGCAGGAGCATGGGAGGGAGGGGTTTGGGACCTCATTAGGGTATAATCCCATACAGTGCACCCTCCAGAGCAGCCATTTTCTCCAGGTGAACTGATCTGTTTTATCTGGAGATAATTTTAAATTTTGGGAGATCTGTAGACCCCACCTAGAGGTTGGCAACCCTAACAGTGCTGGTTCTTACCTTTAAAGCTCTA